GACAGGTTACCACAAGAAATGCTGGATAACTTGATCCTCAGCATGCCCAAGAGGATCTCCGCATGTGTTCGAGCCAGAGGAGGAGTTATTTTGTATAAGATAAACAGCAATTTATTAATAAAAGGTTTTTAAGTTTGGTAAAACTATCTTTTTATTTCTATCAAAGTTCTATTACAATCGCCTAAAGATTGAATTATGAATTTTTTTATACTAACAAATAAAATTAGTTTTATTTTTTAATTTCAGAAAGTGTATTTTTAAATAAAAAAAAAGATATAACGTAAACATTTTCTCTTGATTAAGTTAAATTTTGAAAATAATTCAGCTTTTGCAAGTGATCTAAATTTTTTTGTTATGTGTGTATGTCTATCTTTTAAGCGTAACGCATTATAACATTTTTCCTCAAATTAATGCCGGTGAAACTGCAGGACACCTGTAGTTGTTAACGAAAACCCAAAAATATATTTCACGTGTAACGTGTGCCTTAATAGCCAGGAATGGACCGATGTTTTTTTCTATTTTTTTGCCGTTACTACATAAAACGCATACACGTATTCTACGGCTTAACAAACTCGAACGAGTCATACTTCCTCATCAAAGGTTCCGTAGGCTAACATTGTTATATCGTGGGTGTTGTAGGGTCGCTATGTGATATAGATAGATAGACAGATAGATAATACTTTATTAAACACACCTCATTATAAAGTACAAGGTTTGGACACTAATTTAAAAAGTTGGACAATTGGCGGTCTTATGGCTATGTAGCCATTTCTTCCAGACAACCAAAGGATGGAGAGACGAAATTTAATTAAAGAGGGGTATGCTATTACAAGTCTAACATAGAGAAAAACAAAGAAAACAAAATATGTATAACCATGATTAAAATTACTGTACATATTATAAGATAGAAACTGATAAAAATTCAAATAAACAAACAAGAAGGTACATCGGTACATAAAATAGAATACACATTATTAATAAATTTAATAATAATCATATGATGCAAGCAAGAAGATGGAGAATGCATGGGAATAACACCGTGATATATTAAATAAATAAATATTTCCAACACTCACACCAATTAGCCTAGCCCCAAAGTAAGCACTATAAGGCTTGTGTTATGGGATACTAGGGCAACGGATAGAATACATATGTAAGTATATTTATATAGAAAATACATATTAAACATCCATGACTGAAGTACAAAATGCTCGTATTCTTCACCAAAACATCTGCCCCCACCGGGATTTGAACCCAGGACCTCTCGAGTCGGCGACACCATGGAACACGGCGTACAAACCACTCGGCCACGGAGGTCGTTATTAGGATGTAAGATCAGATGGTAGAAGCATGATGGAGGAATCTCCCCTTGGTCGTGGATTCGGTGACGAGGAATGAGAGAGATGTTTTATACACACATGTTTATTGTACGGGCTTCGTGTTAATAATGAAAAAGAACATAAGTGTGAAGTCAGCAGTATGTATGAAGCAGTCAATGGTTATGTGTTAAGGTACAAGTCTTAATTCATACACCACAACATTATTGCTGTTTAAGTCAAGGCAAAACACCGAACACCGCCAGTTTTGTATGGAACCGCTGTTATTGTAATTCTGATATGAGAAATATTGAGCTGATTTAAGAAGCTCGAGGGCGCAGTTGGTAAGCACTCTCGGTCTGCGATCGTAGAACTTTCGCAATGGCTGGACGCTGGATGCGTGACCATAAACTATTTCCGTGCCTCTATGTTATGGAAGGCACGTTAAGTCGTTGGTCCTAGCTGCATCTGCATTCGTTAGTATCCACCAATTTGCACTGGGCGCGCGTGGTGGGTCATGGCTAGGGTTACTATTTAAAATTTTGAATAAGTCCTGACAAAAAGTCCGGACATTTTAGTCACAAAATGCAAATCACCCTTCAAGGAACCCGGAAGCAAACTAGGACGGACGGACACTTTGTGGATACGACAAGGAACCCCAAAAAAGATATTTTAGACCGCAAATGCGTTCCATCCGACTCTGTATGTACAGTCGGCAAAATAATTAATTAAAAGCCCGTTGTCTGCGGATGAAAATGAAACGAAAACACTGCACTCTTACCGACTGCGTGAGGGCCCTTGTAGTGTAGTCCAGGGGCTATGGTTGTAACAACTTTAGCAATTTCTGTTGGGTATAAGTTTCTTTAGATCTGAAATTATAGAAGTAAATTATCATCATCATCAGCCTATTAATGTCCCCAATGCTGAGGCACAGGGATGGAATAGGCAGATTAGGTCTTGACTTACCACGCGAGCCCATTGCAGTGTCTAACGACTGCAGATGAAGTCAGGACCAACGGCTTGACGTGCCTTCCGAAGCACGGAGTAGTGAGAGATAATAAGTTTTTGGTGACCCATCCAATGACCGACCATCGCGAAAGTTGATTAACTTTAACCTTCGCAGGCCAAATGCGCTTACTACCTGCTCCATCGAGCTCCACCTCAACAAGAAAATTATACTTAAGTGAAATAATGTTTTTAGGGCTCCAATTGCAAACATCATACATATTTTTTTTTATGTATGCAAAGAGAGTGGCTGAGAAACCCATTACTGAGCCTGCGCTGACTGCTCTTTAATCCATTTGTAAGCGAACTGTATGATTCGTAAAATGAAGGACATGAGGCGTAAAAATAGACAGTTAACATTTTCTGGAGAATATGTATTTCCATTGCTGCTATCACAACTAAAAAGTGGAACAAAACACGTCTTATATATTTCGTTTTTATTTTTCTTAAAAATAGTAGTTCCAGTAAAACAAATGTTTGAATATTCTACTTACATTGTGAGCAAGTACTACTCTCACTAAGAGCTGGTTTTGGCGTCATTTTGCACTTTTATTATAAACACATATCGCTTCCTTTAGATAAAAAGCTATTTTCATACAAGTGCGTTAGTTTTCACGGTTTCTAACAAATCATAGAATAGAATTTGATCAATCTTCTGCACCCTGTCTCTTCGACTATCCGTCATTAGCACAGCTTTTACACGGGCCCTGAGCGAGTAACCTGATATTATAAGAATATAAGAACAAGCTTATTATGGACAGTGCATTATCATTTATAATTACACTCTATTTATATAAGGGGAGAGATGAAAGTCCTTTGATAACTTCAACAGGGGTGGACGAGATTCTATAGTCACGTCATCGTAGAGATGTTATACTTAGGCCGGTTATTGAATCAAAAGCTATCACTATCGACAAACAAAATAAACTCTTGTTGTGTAGAACTTCAGATACATTTTGAAGTGCAGCATCTAGAAATAGGTTGAATGTGGAGGTTTGTTGTATTGATGGAGCTAGGAGATAGGAGCCGAACGGTTAAAGCAGTTCCATTCTCGGTATTTGAATCTTTTTTTCTGTACAATACTTTGGTCTGAAAGAGAAAAAAAAACTTCATTGGCCAATAGACATCCATTTCTGGACACGGCTTCCTTAAGGGATTTCCATACGCAACGGTCCTGCGCTTTCCGCATGCAGTAAGTCCCCCTGACTAGCTTAATGGCGTCAGTCCACCTGGTGAGGGATCTACTGACACTGCGCTTCCCGGTGCGAGGTCAGCATTGATACACTTTGGGACCTTAACGCCCATAGGTTTGCCGAACTGTCCCCGCCCATTGCCACCTCAGCTTGGCGATCCTTTGATCTTTGTGGGTAGTTCTAGTTCTTCCACGGATTTCCTTATTCCTAATTCGATTGTCTCGCAACCGATTTTGATTTAACTTGATTTACGATTCATATCAGTACCCTTAGTACGAGTTTGAGCTCACGAAAACTATCATAGTTTCGTAAGTGTATATTATGTTTCTATGTCCATTTTTGTTAAAGTAACCAAATATACTTAAAATTTAAGAAGAAGCAAATGATTTAATGTTAGAATTTAAACACTGTTTATTTGTATTGAAACGAAAACAATAAAATCAGTACCCTTAGTACGAGTGCGAGCTCACGAAAACTATCGTAGTTTTCGTAATTGTAAAACTCTTATTAAGGGTCTTGTTGAGAAAATTTTACTTGGCTTCTTTAAAACATTTTAAATAAATATGATAAAGGCATTGAACATCTTGTAATATATTATATAAGGCTGTTTGTGATTGAATAAAATTCGTTACGCCTCGCTCTTTACACTGCGTTACAATGAAATTAGGTCGATTGATAATACATTTTTAATTTCATCATATAAGTTGGCTGTAGCGGGTGGGGACCTACTTTAAAGTTTTGTTTTCATGCTTCTTTAACGTTCTAGCTGGTTCAAAGTTCTTATGTTAGTCTAAAGAGCCTTATTTAATATGTAGTATTTTATCGACATAAAAAAATCAACTAGGTTTTACATAACAATTGGCATCATTTAATCTTTTTTTTAGGTTTAATAGTCTTCTGAAATAATTATTATATTAAAAAGTTTTCTTTTGGTGTCATCATAAAATCAATTTGCCTCTGGCATAGTTTGGATTAATAGGATTTGTTTAGGTGTAAAGTTTCCAGATTTTGAAATTAACAATAAAAAAATGTAGTGACGTAATTGACAGGGCCTAATATGGTACTATCTGTTTATTTGTATGTTTCCAAATGTCGTTCAGTGATGTAAATACATAGAGCAACAGGGAAGAGAACAGTTTCATACCAATACTTATATGTAATAGAAATTATTCTGCCAGTTATGGGGGGGTTGTTTCTTTTTTTTTTATTTGCCGACAAATTCCGATTTATTACTCCCCACACGTAACCGCTCGTTCATATTTTTTACCGCCCATTTAATATTCCTGCTCAATTATACATATATACACTGATCCTTCTCAATATTTTCTATAACTCATTTTTCTTTACTTTACTGCTTAGTTTTTACTGCTGAACTAGTTATTAAACGTGCCATTTATAATTTTGAACATACCAAAACTGCTATTTACAACTGCCTCTTTAAATCAGTGCCTTAAATAACTAACATGTATTTCTCTCTTCTTTCCAGATACATCGCTTAACGAATGCCATCTCACGACGACACGTCAACGCCAAGGACCCCTGTCAAGTTAAAATCGTACGAAACATCAATAACATCTACCATTATTATGTGATGAAGTGTACCGATTAGTGTGTTAGTTTCTACGCGTAGCGGCCATTTTGAAAATGGGCGCCATCTTGTTTTGTGCCAGCTTCGGCGATCTGTTCACGCACGCTGTGCTGCTGTTGACGCTGGGCGTATATTCTTCATATGGTAAGTAATCCAAGCATGAATATATCTTGTTATTAACCACTTTTTCAAATAGAATCCTTTTTATTGCGTATAGTCACCGCCCCTTTCCTTGACTGTGTTACTGTGGCCACTATTCGTACAAGGACAAAGAATTTTGGTGAATGATTTCTTTGACATACTATTCGCAAGTGTAATTCTTTGCCCGCGCACGTGTTCGCTCTTTCAATATCCGGGTTCTTCTAAAGAGACCGGCAAGATGAGGATGGTTGGTGGGCAGTTTATAACTGCTGCACCAACTATCTTCACGTCTGGGGCTCATTCGCCTAACGGAAATGCTTTGGAAAACTCTAACGCTTACGATTTCATTTTGTTATTTCTAGCCGCCTGAGGTTTTCAAATGTCTTAGGCTCTTTTTTTTCTTTTGCATTGGTAATAACAATATTAAAAAAAGCGTTAGCGTTTTCCATACCATTTCCGTTAGGCAAATGGCCTCCTCTTTTTTTTTTTTTTTTTTCCTCCTGGACTTTACCACCACCTGTCATCAGGTGGTTAAGAGTCATATGCCCACCTAGCTTTGAAAAACATTAGCCAAGAACGTCCCCACTGCTGGGACAAAGGTCTTCCCTATGGATGGGATAGGAAGATTGGGTCATGACATACCACCCGTGCCCAATGCGGATTGCTGGGTGGTAATGACTTCAGATGCAGCCTGTAGCTACGGCTCAAAGTGTAATATTACGAAGCAGGATAAACTTTTGGTCAGCCATCCGATGACGTGCCATTGCGAAAGTTGCTTAACTTTCACAATCGGCGCAGTCAAGCACCTCGTGAAGTATGTAATGCATCTTGTTAATTACCTCTTTTTTAAATCAAATCTTTTTTTATTGCGTGTAGGTATGGTACACAGCTTGTTAAATTGTTGTCATATTCCTCCATGTTGGCATGGCACAAAGATACTATATGTCTTTTTAATAGGCCCCGTATTCGATCTCTGTTATTATTATGACTTACGACAAAGTACGAGGAGCTAGATGGCGCAAGTGGTAAGCGCGTTGGGCTGCGATCGTTGAAGTTAAGCAACTTTCGCAGTGGTCGGTCATTGGATGGGTGACCAAAAATTTACTATCTCGATCTCTTCCGTGCTTCACAAGCTACGTTAAGCCGTTGGTCCCGGCTGCATCTGCAGTCGTTAGCACCCACCAATCCGCACTGTGCCCGCGTGGTGGGTCATGGCCCAATCTCCCTATTCCATCCATAAGGAAGGCCTGTGCCCCAGCAGTGGGGACATTAATAGGCGGATGACGATGACGAAGTTTTTTTTTTCTAAATTGTTTCGGATCTGGGGGCGTCACTGGTAACTTCATGTTCATTTACGTTCATTTTCGATATCCACACCACAACACAAATGATTGAACTACTTAGATGTGTTGATATTTAATCCTCCTATCCTGCTGATATCATAATCCTATTAACCTACTAATATTTTAATCCTACTATCGTTCTATTAATATTACAAACGATGTGACAGTTTGTATGTTCGTTACTTAATCACGCAAAACCGGCTGAATGGATTTTGATAATACTGGGTGTAAAAAATCCAATGACAAAGACTAAAACTACGCATTCTGTACATCCGAACAAGTAATATTACAAAACTAGCAAACCAGTGAACCAAATGTTCACCAAAACCTGATTTCTCGAAAACCGGAAGTGCTACGTTACTCAAATCCGGTTTGTAGTCTTATCAGACTATTCTTAACTTATAACTTAAATATTCTCTTTATCTATCTCTTACGGTTTTTCCGCTGAAACAGCACCACAGACAGACGGTCTTGTCTAATAGATAAGAGATAATATTATACGTGGGATAAATTTTGTACGGCGCACTACTGTGGCGCTACGCAAAGAATGTGCCTGTGTGTGCGTATAAGTGCGTCGATAAAAAAGTTTCTAAATAACGCTTTAAAAATCTATAAAATTCTCGTGTCGCGGTGTTTGTGGTTAAACTCCTCCGAAACGGCTTTCCCGATTCTCATGAAATTTTGTGTACATATTGGGTAGGTCTGAGAATCGGACAACATCTATTTTTCATCCCCCTAAATGTTAAGGGTAATCCACCCCTAATTTTTTTTTAATTTTTTTATGATACATCATACAACAATACATACAGTCCTAAATTTTCACCCATCTACCACCAACCCTTACTTTTTTATGGCGGTACGAAGTTCGCTGGGAAAGCTAGCACTAATGTAAAAATTCTTGAAAAAAAAATTGTAACGTTCACCTTTAATATCTCAATAACCATATATTTAAATCGAAACTAGAGCCAAGGTCCGAGTCTCAGAGACGCCCTCTAGTTAAGCCGAGTCCCCCTCAGATTCGAGTGGTCCTCTCCGTCTGGAGGCCTAGACTCCCCCCGTGGGGAGATGCCATCCGCCTGGAATAATAATACCTCTTAAAGTAATCCAATACTCGGCTTGAGGTCGCCTTAGGATCTCGCCGTCCCCAAACCCGGTGATGCTGTAACGAAACAACTTACAGTTGAGACGGGAAAACCTTACACTTTTTTCGCAAAGGCAGTATAAATAAACTAACTTCGTACCAAAACAGAAAAAAAAAAAAATCAAGTCATATACTTTTTATTGCCGCGGTATAAAGTCGATCATTATAAGCAATTTTTTCTCACTACGTTAAAACTAATTATTTATTATAATAGCCGGACTAGATAGCCGACCATTATAATGATACTAAAATATTTTCACCCTCATTAAAAGGCACAAAAAGACTGACCACACGCTAACATGCCATAGTGAAGTCATAACACAGTATTGTTATAGGATTTATTCGGTTTAATCTTATATTTAAAATGTCTAGCACAAGTATTCTTTGATTTGTATTTTTGTGAAACTTTTGATTGCCTACATCTTTAGCATGATTGCATTACATTGTTAATTGTTATTTTGATTATTATTTTATTAAGAAAACCAACAGCGTATACATTAACAAATAACAGATAGTATTGTACAGGTACCTAAGTATGGCCAATTACAGGTTTTCCTTAAGTTAAACATAGTAAATGTACATCCGAAATAATTAATTATATGCCAACGAATAAATTACGTAACAACCGTGAGAAAATAAAACAATATACAAACAAGAAACTCCATGGAGTTTTTATTGTAAAAAGACATTCATACATATACACACTCACATACCTATACATACACACTCACATAAGTATACATAGACACACACACATACAAAAAAAATGAATTTAATTTATTCTCTCATTTCAACATTCTTGCTCACGTTATTAAAAAAAATCATACCTTATCAACAAGCGTAGGCAAGGAAAGATACGGCACTGGTTGCTCAAAAGTGATCCGCTTAAATTGTGGTGCATGACCACAATTCGCTGTATTCACAATTGGATTCAATCATGTGCACCCAATATAACAATATTGCGTATATTCTGTGTTATAAAGATAAAACAATGCCTTCAATGCTTTTATAAACAACACAAATAGTTCAAATAATACCTCAGCAATACATTTCATTCGTAAAACTGTAAAAATATTTTTTTCTCAAAAATCACGGTTTATCGTCAATGTTATTTGCGTAATCGCCATTTTGTTTTCAAGAAAAGGACAAAAATACAGCTCAGCTGTTCGGACTCGGGAAGAGGACTCGCCGTTTCGCTCGCGCTACTTTGAAGTGTCCAGTTCTGTCTCGCTCGCTCGATTTAATTTTTATATTTACACAGACGTGTGCGTGTGTGAGAGTTGCTTATGTATTTGAGTCGGATCATATTTTATTTGCTAGTATGAGCGTTGTCCCTTTTTTGTTTTAATCTAAGGTTTGCGTTCTTGCCAAAAACTTTTTATTCAAGAGCTTTGAGAATAGTAGCAGTGTTGGTTTTGATTTTATATTGGTGTTGAGTAGCCTGTACTTATTTACCATTATCATCAGTCGTTTAATGTCTTTACTGTTGGAGGACGCAATCGTAAAGACAGATCTGGCTGTAACCCAGCACTAAGGCCCAGTGCGGTTTGACGGGATGGGACTAACAACTACTGATGAAACTCAGCCCAACGGCTTAAATTGCCATCTTTGTTTTGATTCCTCCCAGACGGAAGCGGGTGTGAAATCCTCATGGATGCCCTACAGCCGGCAGCAAGGTTATGTCAGGCTCTTACTGACTAAAACAAACCTTTCCATACGGGAATGATAGGGGATGCGATCATCCCCTGAGAAGATGATGCAGATTTATCATCTGAAACACTAAGATGCTGGAGATAATATATAATATAATATATTTGAGTGCTCTAAGCGGCGCAAATATTCAGCTCTTATTGAGAAATACATATTTGTGCCGTTTGGTGTTGAGACTATGGGCCCATGGGGTCCATACGCTCGTTCCCTTTTTAAGGAATTGTCAAAGAGGCTCACCGAAGTAACTGGTGATCAAAAGGCTGGCAGCTATCTTGGTCAACGGATCAGCCTTGCCATCCAACGCGGCAATGCTGCCAGCCTATTGGGCACCATTCCTGATGGCGGCGCTGGGGGTGATATGTTTTTTATTTTGTAAATTATTTATTTATGTAGGTAAGTAGGTTAAGCTATGTAGTTTTTAAGTTTGTGTTATTTTAATGTATTATCTTCGTATAAATACATAATATATTATAATATATAAAATAATAGCCTATTGGTCACCCATCTAAAGACCGACTTTGTGACTTGACTTACACTTATTGTAAGTAAACTCGTTTATTGTCTATTGTTAGCGATTTGACATTATGTGATGGAAGTTGACCACAACACATGTTTGCAAGTTTGATGTCAACTTAGAATTTGACGACACTGTATCAAATAAAACTGGGAGAAAAAAACAGCCCTTGCTGTGTTCCTTGCCGGTTCTTCTCAGTACAAGGTCTCCCGCCGTAGTTTTGCGAACCGATGGCGTAGTTTTCGACTTTCACGTGTGCTTGTAAAAGCATAAACCAAATAAATGATTTTTATAT